AGCCGGGCGGTTGGCGCGGTCCGCAGCTGCAACCCCGGGCGCGCTTTTCAAATCGTCCCCGACTTGCACCGAAATGGATGGGCGGCTGCAGAGGGGCCTCCCCGCGCAGCAGGTGAGCGAGGCGGGGGACTGGAGAGCTGCAACCTGGAGAGAGCTAGGGGACCGATCGTGCATCGTGGCTTTGCACGCCTAGAGGCTGCACCCAAAGAGGAGACTGAGACCGGGGCTGGAGAAGGACACCGGGGCCCTTCGCACCTGTCCGTCCTCCCCAGGCTTGCAAAGCCGAGGTGATACCCCGGGAGCGGGTGCCGGGGTTGCTACCAGCGCCTCCGCGTCCCACACAGCTGTGCATCTAATGCATGGCGCTCCCCACAGCATTGTGGGCGAGCATCAAACTGGGGGGCGGGGGAAGGCGGCGGGGTGGACGCTCAAACAGCATGTTCTTAGCTTTAGGGGAAGATAGAAGTTTAAACGTGGGTTCTTGCACAAATACTAGCAAAAAGAAAGGACACTGAGTTGCAAACAAATGCGGTGCTTTTTAGCCATTTAAAATGTGTTCTTATCTTTTTTTTTTTTTTTTTTTTTTTTTTACTTAGTGTAGTCGAGAATATTTCTTGGCCACATCAATTAGTACAGTCATTTCTCTAACATTTTAATTAAAAGAAAACTCAATGGAAATCTTCATTTCCATTTTAATTTCCACCTTCTTTTACCGGCTTCTGAAGTATAGTAATTTGAACCGTATACAGTTGCCAGATTTGCTGGTCAAGATTGGAATGGAAGACTGCAGTTTCGTAGAAATTTCCTTAGCAGACATGGCATTGTTAGGAAGTCCTCCTTAATTCCCTGAGAAGTGGAGCCAGGCTTTAAGTTATTGTGCAAACCATATTGGTAGTAAAGACCAATATGTTTTCTACTGACATTCACAGAACTTTCAAATCTCCTGTAAGCTATTTCTTCCTATTTTGTTATGTATTTTAGCTGTTCTGTTTGCTTAGTCCAAGGATAGCCTTGAACTACCCAAGCTCCTCTCATCTCCACCTCTCTCTAGTGTGGAAATTAGATGAGTGCCCCACCAAGCCTGACTGATATGGAGCCGGAGTCAAACCCAGCCTTGTGCATTCTAGACAAGCACTCTATCTACTGTTGTTAACACAGTCTTGATTTCTAGTGAACTGAAGATCTGTTGGGTTTTTTGTAGGGATCACGTAAGTGCTGGTGTAGCCATCCAAGCCCAAACATGCTTATTAGTGTGTACTACAGTGGCATCCAAGAATAATGCAGAAGAGAAAGGAGGATAACACAGCTTGGCTGTTTGGAAGGAAAATGTCTATATATGTGTGTGTATACTATATATAATGTATAATATATATATATATATGCATATATATATAATATGTCAAGGCTGGTTTATATAAATATGGTAAGATAATTGTTAGTACTTTTGCGTGTTTTAAAGTTTTTATTACATTTTCCTATTTTTATTTAAATTAGAAACAAGCTTGTTTTACATGTCAATCCTAGTATCCTCTCCCTCCCCTCCTCTTCTGCCCCCAACCAACCCTCTCCTCCCATCCCCTTCCATGGGGGAATCTTAAAAATCTGTCATATCATTTGGAGCAGGGCCTAGACCCCCACCCCCACCCCTTGTGTCTAGGCTGTGGAGTGGGATCCCAAAGTCCATTCGTGTACTAGGGAGAAATACTGATCCACTACCAGAGGCCCCATAGACTAACCAGACCTCCTAACTGACACCCATGTTCAGGGGGTCTGGATCAGTCCCTTGCTGGTTTCCCAGCTATCAGTCTGGGGTCCATGAGCTCCCCCTTGTTCAGGTCACCTGTTTCTGTGGGTTTCTACAGCCTGGGCTTGACCCCTTTGCTCATCACTCCTCCCTCCCTGAAACATAATTGTTAGTATTTTCTAAGCATTATATTATCAAAATAAAATGTAGAATTGGTTTTTGTTTGGGTCTTTGAAGATAAACAACAAAATTGTAATAGGTTTAGAATTCACCGGAATACTGAGTCAGGAAGAGAATTTTATACTTGACTAACACTGAATTTTTATTTGGTATGTGGTTTTCCCCCCAAATATGAAAGCTGTGATCTAATAGGGTGAAGCCAGAGATTTAGTTCTTTGAACTCTGCTCCAACCCTGGAGGTGACTTGGAATAGCATATTGGTTTTGAGTGAGACTCAGGTCAAATCTCATTCTGCTGTGTAATTCCGAATAACCAACGAGTTGTTTATTCTGAGCCTGGTTTCCACAGTTGCAGAATGTCTGAAATACCTGTCTTAGAAAGCTGTTGAGATTTAATAGCCTCTCTATCTAAGACAGCATAGCAGTGACAGGACAACAGACCTGCCCTAGTCCTCGGAGCAGCAAGGGCAGTCACCTAACTCTTCCTTGTAAAGTTTAAACTCCTACAAAAAGCACAAGTGTCCCTGTAAAGTTAGAACATGAGTTAGATTTCTAGTTTCAGTTCTCTAGAAGGGTTAGTGTTAAAACAATTTTTCAGATAAACAATTTTTTAGTGCATGGAATTTTGTTAAGGAATAGAGATTAGGGCTGGTGAGATAGCACCATGGTAAACATGCTTGCTCTACAAGGAGGTGACTTCAGTTGCTCTCTGGGACCTGTGGTGTAGGGAGAGAACCAACTCCCCAAAGCTGCTAGACTACCACATGAATACCATGGTACAGCAAGAATCTGTACACACACACACACACACACACACACACACACACACACACACACACACACACACACCCTCTCATCATCATCATCATAGTATAATAAATAAAATATTTTTTAAAGCAAGCATACTGTATATAAACTGCTTTTAATTTCCTTCCCCTTTCCCTTGGTCTCTTTGCGAGCATGGCGTAGTTACAGTTGTTAGGTGGGAGTAATTTCAGTCAGAATTACTTATGGATTGCTTCTCTCTTGTTTTCAGTTTTAAAAGTCACTTCTTCAGATCAACAATAAGGCCGTTCTCTGTCTTTGTGCTGTTCTATTTCAAAACCTTTCAGATGTCTCTTTTCCATAATCTAGCTCGCCTGTTTTGTAATTTTTACTCTTCTGTGGCGTTAGCAGTCAAATTCAGGACCCTGTGCCTTCTAGAGAGGCAGAGCACTGATGATCTAGCTTCAGTTTCTCATCTCTGTGTGGGAGCACATGTGTGTAGGGTTATGTTTGTCTGAGAACACACAAACACATGGAGGTCAGAGGTCAGCTTCAGTGTATTCCTTTATTGCTCTCCACTATTTTGTGGTGGTTGTTTTGTTTCTTGGTTTGATTTTGTTTGTTTGTTTGTTTTTGAGACAAGGTTTCACCATGTAGCCTCTGACTGGCCTGAAACTCAGTATGTAGAGGAGGTCGACATAAAGTCACAGAGGCCTGCCTCTGCCTCCCCTGTGCTGAGATTAAAGGTATGTGCCACTACACACACATAGAGAGAGAGAGAGAGAGAGAGAGAGAGAGAGAGAGAGAGAGAGAGAGAGAGAGAGAGAGAGAGGATAGATAGACAGACAGACACAGAGACCCACAGAGAAGGAATCTTTCATTGAACCTAGAACTTTCCATTTTCTACTAGATTGGCTTCCAGTAAGCCTGGGATCTATGTCTTTGCCTCCCCAGCATTGGGTTTACAGGGGCACACCATGGTGCCTGGCTTCGCTGTGGTGAACTCAGGTCCTCATGCTTTCTTAGTGAAGTATTTCCCTGTCTCCCCATTTCTACTTTTATGTATCTTAAAGGTTGATTTTTATTTATATACACATGTGTGTTGGGTACCTAGGAGGCCAGGTGAAGATGTTGGATCCCCTGGAGCTGGAGTCATAGGTGGTTGTGAGCTGCATGTTATGGGTTCTGGGAACCGAACTCATATCCTCTGGAAGAATGGCAAGCACTCCTAGCCATTGAGCCATCTCTCGAGCCCTTAGCTTCCACCTTTAAGGGGTCCAACTATTCCGTTTTGTAGCTTTGCTCTGTCCGTTCCATCTTAGCTTCTAACTTTATCTACTTATCATATCAGGACAGCGATGAGAGTGTCTGTTTGACCTGGTTATATGCAGGCCCTTATTCAGAAAGTAGAACCCTGAAAAAGAGGATGACTAACCTACTCTTCTTAGGGACTTGCTTTCCAGCGCTCTGGCAGGGTACACACAGGGCATCTTGTCTCATTGGCCACAGTCATCCTTTACTGTGCATGGCTGCACCCTTTGGGCTGTGGCAGTGACAGTGATGATTTTAGTTCTTCAGTCCTCTTGGAAAACAGTCATCATCACTGTATGTTCAGTGGATGCCCCTCCTTTCACGATCTTTAGTCTCACTGGCTCGCCCCAGACTTCACTTTCTCCCCAGCAGTACCATGTGTACCTATTAAGTAAAGACGAGTCATTTTGCTCTGTAACCCATGACTTGGCTAGAACTGGTAAATGGCGCTGGTCAGAGTTTCCTTCTCCATGTAGAGTGGATGTGTGCTAGCAAGTAGTGTGGGGAACATAAACTTGCTGCAGCCGTGGGCACTGTTAACTGAGTGTGCTCGAAGATGATGTGTTCATACACTTAGCAGTTAGTTCACCCTGCTGCATCAGCCCTTTTCATCTGCTTGGCCAGCCTTGGCAAAGAAGGCTGAGCCCTAGCCCACACTACTTGCTAGCACATATCCACTCTACATGGAGAAGGAAACTCTGACCAGCGCCATTTACCAGCTCTAGCCAAGTCATGGGTTACAGAGCAAAAGGGTAAAAGGCCACATGGTAAATATCTCCCATTTTGCTTTAAGTACCTCAGCTCTGCCATTGTGGTTGGAAAGTAGCCACAGCCAGGATAAGCTAGTATGATTCAGTCCAATTTTATTTACAAAAACGGGCACCAACCAGGCCGTAGTTTGCTAGCTAATTTCATCATAAAGGATGAAATTCTAGAGGCAAGCGGATCTCTGTGGGTTTGAGGCCAGCCTGGTCTATCGAGTGAGTTCCAGTTCAGCCAAAGAGAAATCCTGTCTCAAAAATTAAAAAAAAAAGGTCAAAATTCTAGTAATACCTGCCATGGATGCCTCATTTCCTTAGAGAACATTAGCTTAATCCCACATATAAGTTTATCTCTACTTTTTCCCAAGCCTCTGCAATTATTTGAGGTTTTTCCCTCAGCTGCAGAGAAGGCTCTCCTCATAGATCAGATGGTCACTCTGAAGTCCAGGCTGGTATGTAGTGTGGCTGTGGCCCCCTGCTGGTTCCTTCCGGTTTTTGCAATTTTATGATTGCTGAATTTCCCTGTCCTACAATAACTGTCTGTCTGAGCCTCTAAAGCACTAGGTCACTGGTTCTCAACTTTCCTGATGCTGAGACACTTTAATACACTTCCTCATGTTGTGGTGACCCCCCAACCAATGTTATTTATTGCCACTTCATAGCTGTAATTTTTCTGCTGTTAAGAATCATAATGTAAATATCCGATATACAGGATATTTGATATATGACCCCCGGAAGGGTCATGACTCACAGGTTGAAAACCATGGCACTAGAGGCACCTAAAAAATTGCCCAGCCCTGCCTCCAGAGACCCTGATTTATTGGGGTCAGGCACTTTAATAGGACTCTCGCAGCTTCAGTTGGCTCTCAGATGTAGCCAGCTTTCAGAACCTCTGTGCCCGTTCAGCCAACTGTCTCCCTGTTGCTTGCATTTAAAAGGCAAAGCTGAGTTTGGGGGCACCAGCTGGTGTGTATTTATATTTGTGCTGTGGGGTAAAGCGGCTCCTCCCAGCTTCAAGTGCTCCCAGCATGCACGTGCCAGCATTAGCCAGCCTGCCACCGTTTATTACTGTAAACATATGGGCCACGTAGATGGTTCTTACAATTAACTGCTGATGACATGAAAAGAGAAAAGTCATCTGGCCAACAAGTCATGCACAGATGAGAGAAGAGTTGGGGAAACTCGGTCACGTGCAAAGAAAGGAGACCGGCAAGGGACCGCTTTTATATGGTGCCTCAGGTTGAGGCAGGTGCACACTACATGATGAGGTTAGCATGTGAGGACTCTGCCATATGATGACAGAAGGTAATTAAGCAGATCTGTCCTCTTATGTGAATATTTCAGCTGATTAGCCTTGGAGAGTCAAGTCAAGCCATCTAGCAGTTTGCTTTTGGGAGTCATCATGGACCGTCAACTCTCCTAGTCGGCTCCTTCTTTTCCTTTAGAAATGATTGTCCTTTTAATATTCGGCACTTTTATCATTAGATTCTCTGCACATTTTTAAATTGGTATTTCGGTACAAGAAAGTAATAGATTTTACTGCCGAAGCTAGGATGGTCACCTGACTTTTAGAAATAGACACACATGGGTTGCATGCTTGTACATAAAGAGGACCTTCGTGGCTTACAAGATTTGCAAACTTATAGGGAGTAAATTGAGAACTGTGAATCTTGTTTGTAGACTTTTAATGATATGAATGAGACTTGTGTATTGAATGAGACCGTTGCGTTGTGGTTAAATGGAACAACTAAACTACAAAGAAATGTCTTGATGTGATGACTTCAAAATAAACATGTCCAGTGCTGAGCCTCTGTCCCGGCAGCAGAAGCCTCTGGCATTTTCCAGGCATGGAGCCTCTAGCCTTGGCTTCTAGTTTTGTTTCCACTGTCACTGTGATGACCAGCCCAGTCCACTCTGCTGTTCATTTTTTCAGCTGTCTGCTCTTTCACGAAGTTTTTCCTGGGCAAATTCAGTGTCCCTCAGCCCTACCCCAACCCCCTGTAGCACTCAGGATCTGTGCATGTGTGTAATTTGTTGCTCACAGTTGTTATTGCATACTTAAAAATACTTTTATTTAGGTGTGTGGGGGAGTGTGTGCATGTGTGTAGAACAAAGAGGGTTTCCCTGGAGCTGAAGTTATAGGCAATTTTGTGTGTGCTGGGGACTGTTCTCTGGTCCACTGTAAGAGCAGCAAGCATGCTTAGTCTCTGAGCCATCATTGCTCTAGCTGCTTATTGTACATTTCTTAGGGCTGCTGTAACAAACATAGCAAATGACCAACACGTCCCCCCCCCAGATCTGGAGGCCAGAAGTCAGAAGTCAGTACATTGACAGCACTCCTCTGCAGGCCCTTCCTTGTCTCTTCCAGGTCTGGCTGCTGCCATTAGCCTGCCATATTCATCTCTGCCTTCACCTGACCTCCTCATGTGTCTGTCATCATAGGACTTTCTCTCTGTGTGTCTGTGTCTTTATGTGGCTTTTGTGTGTCTGTGTCTTTATGTGGCCTTCTCTCTAAGTCTGTGTCTTTACATGGCCTTATTAAGATTTGAGATGTGTTCTAATCCATGTGATCCCATTTTAATTAATAATGTACAAAATTCTGTGTCCAAATAAGGGCACATTCTAGGGTTCTGGGTAGACACAAGTGTTGGGAACTTTATTAAGGTAGTGGAGTTTATAGTAGCTTTGTTTTTCCTCATCTTTGTTTCTGTTTTGTTTAGCCAGTATGTTGGAAAGAATTCCCAATAATGAAAGAAATGTAAGAGTTTTGCAAATAGCTTTTTAAAAGAGCTGTATTTTTATAGAGCAACAAGTCAAAAAACTTTGTTTCCTTCTCAGAAGGGTATGTAAATAAACGATGTCTAGTACATTTCCCATTGCCTGTCTTAAATGCAGTTCTAGTTGATTGCTACCTCATACTAACAATTCTCTATTTTAGGACTGCAACATCCGGGAGAAAATAGACTTAGAAATCCGAATTCGAGAAGGAATATGGAAGCTGCTCTCCCTGAGTACAAAAAAAGACCAGGTTTTACATGCAGTTAAGAATCTCATGGTGTGCAATGCTCGGATAGAGGCCTACACGGCGGAGCTACGGAAGTCAGAGGAACAGATTGCAAGTCAAACTGGAAGACGGTTAGTGCTGTAGCATACCTTCACTTTAATGTATTTGAACAGAAGACACAATGTAATTTAAGTGTAAGTAAAAAAAAATGTCAGGTCACCAAACCCTTTAAAGGCCAACATGGAAGTGCCAGTTGTGTAGACAGAAGAGCCGGAAATGAACTCACTAAACAGCCACTTCTATCGAGCAGTTCCCTGCTTAGTGTGGGACTCTAAAGTGAAATTGGCCAGGGAGCAAAAACTGGCAAGTGTTTTAAGAAGAAAGGGCAGAGATGGAGAGAGAGTGGAATCCGTAGAAAAGTGTCTTTAAGAAGTTAATTGCCATTGCTAGAGAGATGGCTTAGTGGTTAAGAGCACTGGCTGCTCACAAACATCGGTAACTCCGGTGCTAGGGAATCCTACGCCCTCTCCTGGCTTCCTTCAGCATGTACATGGTTCACATATACACACAAAACACCCATACCTGTAAAATAAAAATAACTCTTTTGATACACTCAAAATGATTGCTTATAGATGTCCATTTATCCTAAGAATAACAGCAACTGAAGTAAGTTGAACTGAGTTGGCCACAGATTATAAACATGTAAGTGGAAGGAAACTTAAAATGAACACACCCACACAGCCCTTCCTATGGTGAGCAAGTTCCAGAGAAGAGAGTGGTGTCATCCAAAGTGTTGCCAACTAGCTCCAGTCAGGGCTTGCATCTTAGTCTCTGGTTCAGAGGTCTTTGTCACTCCACATGACCCTTGTGGAACAGATGGAACATTTGTGTATCGTATAGTGTCCTATCCCATAGACAATGCCAGATTCTTTTCTGGACCTTGGGTGAACTCACTTTAGAGGCTAAATTTCAGTGTCTCTTAGTAGGACATTTGGCTCCCTTGTTGTTAGTAGTTCTGGTAGAAGTGAAAAGTCTCTGTGTGCTTTAGTGGTCATGGGGTGGGCCACCATATCCTTCTATTAAATTCCTTAAAAGGAAGGTACGGACAGGTCAGTGAAGGTGTCTATAAAAATAAAACAGCAATAGGGTTGTGATAGAGTAGACACCTAGCTACAAAGTGGCTAGTTTATCATTGGCCTTACCTTACTGTAGATGCTGGAACCTCTGTGCCTCAGGCATTGTGTTGTGGGTACATTATAGTGTGATAAGGTAATGCCTCTAAGTGGGGATGTAGACATACACTCAGCAGAATGCTTCGGTGCTCAGGAAATCTCCTAGTCTCTGTATTGTATGACCCAGCATTACTAACAAAACTATCCCAACGTCATCATCTAGGGTGGTGTTTGGAGGCTGATGTTCCTAAGCCGGGTCATAGGTCACTGGGAGGATGTGATTATGAATCGGGAGCTATGCCAGAGTCAGATGATGACAGCACAAGGCAGAGCGGAATATTTTTAAGACAAAGCTTGTGCGTCTAGAATGTGGTGAAGTTTGGGTTCTAGACTCCTCTGCTTTGATGAGGCTTTTTTTTAAATGGCAAAATGTGAGAAGCCTTTGTTTAAGAGAGTGTGAGACTAGGCATTCACTATTAGATGGTTTCTCTAGTTCTGGGATCATCTTCTGGGACACATATCTACCCATTTAGTGTTCCTTAACCATTTGTAATGAATTGTGAGTTTAGTGTTTTGTTAACTTGGTGTCATAGCTCTTCTGGAGTCGACTTATAAGATATCAAGAAAGCCTAGTCCATGTTACATTTATACAGCAAAGATGGGGCAGGGAATGGAGACTCTTAGCTGAATGTATGCCCACATGTCTGGATTGTTTTGCCTCACTAGTGAAAATATCTTCCGTTCTGTGCATGTACATGTTTTATGTTTTCATCATCCCTATGAAAGCATTGTAATCCTTTATTGATATCTCCTGGGATTTAAAATGATTCCTGATGATTCTGTGCGATACACCTGTTCCAGCTTCCCTTTGTATGCGCAGGTGCAGCCTGAGGCCACTGACCGAATGTAATGGAATTACAGGATTTGCTTCCTGATTGGATAAAAGTCATTGCAAAGCTAGTCGAGAATCCTCCCACAGCCTCTCTAGTTCCTTGAAGGAAATGACATGGGGTCTACCATTTGATCAGTTGGGTTCCCAAGCACCTGCTAGTTGCAGTGAGCTTAGTAAGCACCATGCTCAGATGCCCCTGTTTGAGGAGCACAGAGTGACAGACAGAGTGTCATCACAGGGCAATATAAGAATCTATAGCAAACATGTTGCCTTTAGATGCCATATCTATTCCTTAGTTGGTTTAGTCTCTGAGGAAGAAAAAGATGCTTTAATATATATGTAACATATATTAATGTAAATCAAAATACTGTTTTAATGAGGACACTGCTTTAACTCACCCAAAACTTTACAAAAAAATGTCAAAAATTATTACACTGTTACTCTAGAGCAGTGATTCTCAATCTTCCCAGTGCTATAACCCTTTAATATAGTTCCTCTTGCTGTGCTGACCCCCAACCATAGAATTATTTTCACTGCTGTTTCATAACTATCATTTTGTTACTGTTACAAATCATAATATAAAATATCTGTGTTTTCCGGTGGTCTTGTGGGCCACGACCCTCAGGTTGAGAACCCAGACTGCTCTAAGTCTTTTCAGAGCAGAATCTAATCAGAGTGTTGTGGTGCGACTGAGGAGCATCTGGTGTGAACCGGATCTTGTGGACGGAAGGAAACAATCCCACCAGATGATGAGGATCTGCTCCCCTAAAAGAAATAGCAAATGCAAACCTAGAGTGAAGGACGAGCTAAAGCAGACACAGAAGGGATGCACTTGGTTGATGATCTATGTAGGGTTTCCTGGCAGAAGACAGACTGCTAGGTGAAGTGTGGAATTGGCCGCCGGGCATTTGCTGCCTGCCCATCCTCACTAAAGACCTGGAAACCAGGACTGTCCAGGGTGCACAGTGCTCCCAGAGCTAGACCAGGGACCCAGGGACTTCAAAGGTGCTGTACCCCACCCCCTCCCCCACTTCCACCTGAAACCAGCCTTGCTTCTTTCTGCCTCTCAGAGCTGTAGAGTGATTACAAGGGTTAACGTCTACCTTTTTGAAAATTTCCTCCTATAACATTGTAAGCAAAAAGAATCCATGATATGACAGTGTTTAGGAGACCATATAGCAGTAGAGGATTGGAAATAACCACATTTTAAAACTAGTAGGTAAGACATTGAGACGCAGAAAAGCAGTGATGTAGTATCTGATAATGAAATAGCTTTTTGTGTTTGTTCTTTTAAAGGCAGGACCTCAGTGTGTAAACCTGGCTGGCCTAGAACCTGCTGTGTAGACCAGGCTGGCCTTGAACTCGTAGTATCCAATCTGCCACCTAATGGTGGGTGCTGGGAACCAGACTCAGGCCCTCTGCCAGAACCGCACCTGCTCTCTACTGGGCAATCTCCCCAACCCCTGAAATGACTTGAGTGAATGAGTTTCTCGGGGACTTATTACCGGGTCTTCATTTGCAGCGTTCTGTAGTGTGAACCGCTACTGACAGTAGATGAAAACAACCAGGTTGTCTCCCTCTGTTAAAACCTTTTCAAACCAGGGCTGCAGGACAGCTGCACCGTGTGCATTGACTTAATTTCTGTCTACCAGAGTAGTGCTGGGCTTGTGTGGTGCTTGGAAGAACTGAAAGCAGAAAGTCATCGCTCTGCAGTTAGGGAGGGTGAAGCCACTGGCCCTCTTCCCCTTCTAAGTTACAGTGAAAATTAAGACTCACTTTATCTTAGCTGTGTGTTGCTTCTCCTTGTTGCTTCCTTTCGAGCTTCTTGCTGCCCCCTGTTGCTCACCATGTCCCGGTCTGCCTACTTCTGCCTTTTGAAAAGCCACTTCTTTATCTTGAGCTCTTTCATAGATAAACATCTGCAAGTGTTCACTTAGTTGGCTGTTAATTTCGCGGCACGTGTGCTCATCCACTGCCTTCTCTGTGTGCCTGTGGACACACATGGTTCGGTTGAAGCGTCTGAGGATGATTGCAAATGAGACATGTGCTCCCTAATAGTTCGCCATGTGTCCATCTCTAAGAACATTCTTCCACAGGGTCAAAAGATGATTATATGCAAAATGTTAATCATTTTCTATATTCACCCTTACCCAGTTGCTCAAAATCTTTCATAGCTGGGGTTTTTGTTTATTTTTTCACTAAAATTTGATTTAGATTCACACAGTGCATCTGGCTACATCCCTTTGGTTTCTGTTAATTACCCTTTTCTAAAATTCCCTTTTCACTCGTGTTTTGAAGAGTCTAGACATTAAGACCATTTAAATATCCTACATTCTGCACTTGTCTGGTAGTTCCCATAAGTTGTCCTGGAGCCTTTTCCATATCTTCTTTACTATAGCTGCAAGTTGACTGTTGGGTCCTTTGACCTTGCACTTGGTAAGCAAGCTCTGTACCACTAAGCCCCACGCTTGGCTCTTTTTCTGCTCTTTATTTTGCAGTAGGGTCTCACTGAGTCGCCCAGGTGGCCCATCAGCGGGGGCGCCTGCCTCTGCCTTCCCAGCAGCTAGACTATTGGCCTGTTCCTCAAGGCCTGACTCAGCCTCTTTCAAAAGGAACTGACCTCAGCCTTTTGTCGCCTTTTCCTCTCTGCCTTTTTGTAAGTGGAGTCTGAGTGCTGGGACTGTGAGAATATTATCCCACAACGTCAGTGGCTTTATCATCCATCTCTACTCCTCACTTAAATCACTTCTTGCAGGGGGTTTGCAAATGGTGATTAACTTGGTTCTTTCCCTTCAGTCCCTATTGGCTGAAATTCTTCTGTAAAGGACCTTCTGGGTTTGTCTGTTTTTAGTAGCCAACCGAGTCCCATTTTTGCTGTCCATGCTCTCATGGGTGTGGCCATCTACAGTTGACCCACATGGCCACACCCTGAAAGAAAACTGATTCTCCCTCCTCCAGAAGCATCCTCTGCCAGCAGCTCCTCAGCTAGGGGCAGGCCTCATGAGCCACTCCTACTCCATGCTGGAATACTGACCGGCTTGATCTTGTGCAGATTTTGTGCAGGCAA